ATCATGGTGGATCATTATGTTCATCCACTCAACCAAACAATTTTTTATCCATCCAGCCATCCATCCATCCATCCATCCATCCATCCATCCATCCATCCATCCATCCATAAGCTATTCATCTAGTGCAGTGTTTCCTCTAGGATTTTTTCCAGCTGTGGCGGCAGGCCTTTTTTACACACATCTACAAATCACCTGTAGCATTATTTCAATGATAAATGTCTTTAGCGCAGTATTAACTCGAGATTGAATTTATGTAATTGCCTACGAGCATGCAAATCTCTTTGCTTGCGCGCCGATTTCCTCTGCATCACGTACCTGTCAGTCAGGCAGTCAGCACGTAACCTTAAAGGGTTAAACAAATGACGCACAGCACTACTACGGTTACAGAGAAGTTCACGCTGTTATAATTTACTTACCTTTTAATCAGTCTTGGTGCGATTATCACCCGCTATTAAAAAAAAACAAAAAAAAAAAAACACGAATGAATGTTTTGAATGTGAAGCTGTGATGTAGCCGTGGCGGGATCAATTTTGGGGTGGTGCCCCGCCATGGAAGAATGAATGTAGTGGACACCATGTAGTGTTTTATTCATCCATCCATCCATCCATCCCTGCATAAGCTATTCATCTATTGTTTTATTCATTCATCCATCCATTCATCCAGTGTTTTATTCATTCATTCATCCATCCATCCAGCCAGCCATGCATCTAGTATCTTTCATTAATTCATTCATCTAGCCATGCATATAGTGTTTTATTTGTTCATTCATTAATCCAGCGATACATCTAGTGATTCATTCATTCATTCATTCATTCATTCATTCATTCATTCATTCATTCATCCATCTATCCAGCCATACTTCTAGTGTTTCAGTCATTCATTTTTTCATTCATTCATCAATCCAGCCCATTTATTTATATATTTAGTCATGCATCTAGTGTTTAATTAATTAATTGATTCATTCATTCCTTAATTCATTAATTCACCCTAGCCATGCATCTAGTGTTTTTTTTCATTCATTTATCCATCTATCCATCTAGTGTTTTATTCATTCATCCATTCATGCATCCATCTAGCTATACATCTAGTGTTTTATTCATTCATCCATCCATCCATCCATCTATCCAGCAATGCATCTAGTGTTTTATTCATCCATCCATCCCTCCATACAGTGTTTTTTTTGTTCATTCAACCAGGCATCCAGTGTTTTATTAATTTGTTCATCCATCCAGATATGTATCTAGTGTTAATCATTTATTAATTCATTCATTTTTCCAGTCATGCATCTAGTGATTCATTCATTCATTCATTCATTCATTCATTCATTCATTCATTCAGCTATGTATCTAGTGTTTAATTAATTAAATCATCCTTCTAGCTAAGTATCTAGTGTTGTATTCATTCATTCATCCATTTAGCTGTGTCTAGTGTTTAATTAATTTATTCATTTATCCTTCTAGCCATTCATCTAGTGTTTCATTTCACCCATGCATCCATCCATCCATACACCCACCCATTCATCTGTTTTATTAATTATTTTTTTATTCATTCATCCACCCATGCATTTAGTGTTTTATTCATTCATTTTTTTATCCATTCATCCACCCATGCACCTAGTGTTTTATCCATCCATCCATCCATCCATCCATCCATCCATCCATCCATCCATCCATCCATCCATCCATCCAATAAATCCAATTTAGTTTTTGTGCATCTCCTCTATCCTCAAATGTTGTCATCTCCGTGTAGAAGCACTTTTGTTCCTCTGTTGTGAACAGATAAGAGCGTCTGCTAGACAAACACACATCATGTACAGTAGTTTATCGGGTTCTATGTGGATGAGTTTCCTGGATGGATTACTGTTGATCCCTCAGTGATGCTTCTGCACACTGATAGTAAATCTGCGATCGTGAAAACTCAAGGCTTAAAGAGTCCAGGAATACCCCGCTCTGTGGAGTAAGCCGGGGTTAAAGTGCTGACCTATAATTATCAGTGTGAGGTCAGTGAAACAGCTGGGTCAACATCCCACTGAGGGTCAGAGATGCAGGATGAGTCTCCATCAGTCCGTCTGTCAGCGGCGGCTGGAGTTATAGCAGCTTTAAGACCAGTGCTGAGGGGTAATGACTTACAGAGGAACCAGCTACTGGAATTAAATACTGATCCACTCCTAAAGTAGAAGATCACTACTATTATTATTATATTTACAGCTAAAGTAAAATCATTCGCTCTCCTGTGAATTTTTAGTTTGTCAAATATTTCCCAAATGATGTTGAACAGATTCAGGAAATGTTCACAGTATTTCCTCTATTTGTTCTTCTGGAGAAAGTCTTATTTGTTTTACTTCGGCTAGAATAAAAGCAGTTTTTAATTGTTTTGAACCCATGTTAAGGTCAATATTATTAGCCCCCTTAAGCAATATTAGTGTTGGATTGTCTTCAGAACAAACCACTGTTATACAATGACTTGCCTAATTACCATGGTTAACCTAATTAAGTGTTGGTATTATTATTGCATTAGGTGTGTTAATTGTGTTACATGTGGAGCACCACACATGTCAGAATGAGGATTAAAGCTTTATTCTAAAACTTACTGCTCATGCTTAGGTCATTATTTGTGTTTTAGCACACTCAGTCAGTAATTCTCTTTCTGATTCTGATTTAATGACAGTTTCCTAATGTTCTTCCCTTAAATACTGTATAAAAACTCAACTGTTCTGTATATTTTCATCCGTTCATTCCTTCTTTCCTCATTCTGTTGATCATGCATCAATCCATCCACACATTCACCCGTCCATAGTTTACTTTTCATCCATCGTTTAATGTTCATCTATCTGTCTTTCGTTTAATGTTCATCCATCCGTCCACAGTTTAATTATCTTCCATCCGTCCATTGTTTAAAGTTTTTTCCATCTATCCTTTACTTTTTATTCATCTGTTCATCGTTTAATTTTCATCCATCTGTCCACTGTTTAATTTTCATCCATCCATCCTTTAATTTTCATCCATCCCTCCATCATTTACTTTTCATTTATCTGTCCATCATTTAATTTTCATCCATCCATCCATGGTTTAATTTTTATCCATCTTTTACTCTTCATCCATCAGTTTATCGTTTTAATTTTCATCCATCCATCCATTGTTTACTTTTTGTCTATCCGTTTATCGTTTACTTTTCATCCATCTGTCCATTGTTTAATTTTCGTCCATCTGTCCATCCTTTACTTTTCATTCATCCATCATTTCATTTTCATCCATCCATCCATTCTCTACTTTTCATCCATCCATTAATTATTTTGATTTTCATCCATCCATCCATCCATTGTTTACTTTTCATCTGTCCACCATTCAGTGTTTTTTTACCCTTCCGTCTATCCATCCTTCCATTCTATAAATCTGTTTGTCCATCCATCCATCCATCCATCCATCCATCCATTCCAGGTTTTTTATCCTTCTTTCCTTCCTTTCCTTCACTTGTTTTATCCATCCATCCATCCGTTTGTCCATCCATCGTTTTATTTGTCCATCCATCCAAGCCTTTTTTATCCGTCCATCCATCCTTCCTTCCTTAATTCCTTCCTTTCGTTCACTGTTTTTTTATCCATCCATCCATCCATCCATCTTTTTATTTGTCCATCCATCCATCCAATTAAGCTTTTATATCCTTCCGTCCGTCCATCCTTCCTTCCTTAATTCTTTCCTTTCGTTCACTGTTTTTTATCCATCCATCCATCCATCCATCCATCCATCCATCCAGGCTTTGTGAAAGAGTCATGATTCTGATGACTTATTGTATTATAAAGCCTCTGTAGCTCATAAAGTGAAGAGTTCATAAAGATGATCCAGTCAAACCCTTCTGCTCTAGATAAGGCTCTAACCCAGATGCTTTACTGTCAGATACTGTGCACACACACACACAGAGACGCACAGTACAGGTTTCATTCATCGCTTCATGACATGGGTTCACATGTTCTGCATTTTCTGCATCTGCTATCTGCTGTGTTTCTCTTTGAAGCTGCTGACCATTATCCTTGACATGGAGTTCACAACACCCCGCGGCCCTGGACACAAAATTAAGTCCTTTAATGATAACTCATTTCCCAAGGTTTCACGGGGAATTTCCACTGGATTACATTGTTCCTCAGTCCTTTGAACTTGACATTGAACTTAAGCAGACTTTTGGTTTGCGGAGCCGTGAAGTTTGAACAAAGCCTCAGTTCTCATCTCAGACTGCTCTTAATGGAGCCAATGCATCTTTAAATCAGTGCTTCGTACACTGTAAGAAAATGCTGCCTTCCACACAATTCATTTGTGTTGGGATAACCTGAAGGAACTCATTAGTTTTTGTACAAATTGAAGTGGTTTGAAAATAAATTAATTAAGTTGTCCAAAAAAAGCTCAAGAATTGGGTTGTTTCATTTATTCATACATTTTGCTTTGGTTTAGTCACTATTTCAACAGTTGCCACAGTGGAATGAACCACCAACTACCACCAACTATTACAGAATATGTTTTACACAGCGAATGCCCTTTCTGCTGCAACCCAGTACTGGGAAACAGTCATTCACACACGCATACAAACACACTCATACACTATGGTGAATTTAGTTAATCAGTTCCCCTATAGCGCATGTGTTTGGACTGTGGGGGAGACCGGAGCACCCGGAGGAAACCCACACCAACACGGGGAGAACATGCAAACTCCATACAGAAACACCAACTGACCCAGCTGAGACTCGAACCAGCGACCTTCTTGCTGTGAGGCCACAGTGCTATCCACTGAGCCACAGTGCGAATAAATGAATGAATGTCCTGTCGGCATGTTATTTGGGTGGACCTTGCTTTTCTGGTTCATGCTTATTTATGTATCTGGAAAAATAACTAAAGGAAATATCATTATTGGTGGACAAAAGTTCTGTGCATCCATGGTGTTCTGAATTGAATGTGTCGCACGTGTTTTTGGATGATTTGCAGTGGTTTATTGTGTCTCTTTTCTCTTTTCAGAGCAATGGATCATTGGTGTGGTGTGAGAATCACAAGCAGTGCTCAAAGGTAAACCTGTGGATCTCTTGAAAACATTTGACTGCAGGAGAATATGGGAAAGTGTGGGAGATGATAAAAGAATGGGAAAACAGGTGTGAGAGCAATACTAAAATATCAAACATGTATTATTATATCAACTTAATACAAAATAAATACCAACCTTTAACATCTTTACCTTTTCCTTCTGAACATTACGGTAACACTCTATATTGATGGTCCAATTGGGTATTAGTAGTCTGTCTGCTTAATGTCTGCTGATTCTGCTCCTTCAACAGACATTTAACTGACTATAGGAAACTTTGCAAGCATATATTAAAGGTGCAGCAGGTGATTGTCTTCAGAAACATGTGCTGTTGTGCTGGTTGGAAGTCTCTTCACAGTCCAATAGTGATGATTAATGTAATTGAGCTAAATGTGTTTGTATGGATTTTTATACAAAAATGTCATAAATAAATATTGGCAGGCTGACATCTCCCATAACACCGATAAATAGGCCCACACGGAATCTGCGCACAGAATTAAGCAGATTTCCGCGGATTTTTTCATTAATTCTGTCTATTTACTTGAGTAAATGTGTGTAAATCTATATTTATTCAGTTTTTAAATTAATTACAGTAATATTATTGACTAATATGTAAATGTTCATCTGATTTATGCACAGTGCAGTGTGTACAGTCATATTTTCTGTCTTTTAGTAGAGATATTGTACGAGAGACTTGCTTTGTTTAACAAATAAAGTGAATCTAATTGGATTTGCATTTTAAACATTAAATAAAAGTTAAAAAGGTATTACTTTTTCTTTCACATATTAAGGTTTTAGTTATGATACTCCCAAAATAATTCAGCAGAAATCCGTAGATTTTTACCAAAATTCTCAGCAGAAATAGCAAAAAACGTCAGCAGATTCCGTCTGAACCTGCAAATAAGTAGCTCAAACTCTGTCAACAAATGCAGATTCGGACTTCTGCACATCTCTGTTCACGCAGATCCGCCATTACACGGGGAGAGCATGCAAACTCCACACAGAAATGCACACTTGCTGTGAGGCCACAGTAATAACAGCTGAGCCACCGTGCCGCCCTTTAGCAGTGCAAGGAATATAAAATGTTTATCAGCATCATTTTCTTTTCGGCTTATATTCCCTTTATTAATCCGGGGTCGCAACAGCGGAATGAACCACCAATTTATCCAGCACGTTTTATGCAGCAGATGCCCTTCCAGATGCAACCCATTTCTGGGAAACATCCACACACACCCATTCACACTCATACACTACAGACAATTTAGCCCACCCAATTCACCTGTACCACATGTCTTTGGACTGTCGGGGAAATCGGAGCACCTGATGGAAACCCACGCGAATGCAGGGAGAACATGCAAACTCCACACAGAAACGCTTACTGACCCAGCTGAGGCTCAAACCACCGCACCGCGACGCCATAAAATGTTTATGTTTTATTTTATTATTTCCACACCATAATCGGATACAGCACATGTTGTATTCAAGTCATTCCTGTGTGCATGTGATGCACGATTGGTGGTTTACTTTAGTAGCAGTAATTTGCAGTATAAAAGCAATCAGAGAATATAAAGGTTGTAGAAAGTTTAAAAAGGTAAGGCTAAAGCATTAAAAACTTTGGTGCAAGGTAAGTGAGATGCAGTAGATGTCGTGTTTAAGTAATTCCCCCGTGTGTGAATGTGATGCACGCTCTTCGGTTTACTATGGTAACAGTAATATTGAGTCTCTGCAGGGTCTGTCGGTGCAGACGCTTCCCGTGTTGATTCATTACACATAGACAGGAACACAGTGTGATATGATGAGCTCATGCATGACTCTGTTCACACTACACTGCGTACACCGAGACTTCATTCGAGATGTGCGAAAACATCAGGATGAAGGAAACCGAAGGAGCCTTTTCACTGTAAATGATGTGTGATGTGCATTTGCATTACATTTACATTGCATTTACTTTAGGGTTTTGTGGAACTTCTCTTGTGTAAAGTTAAAATTGCGAGGTATAATGTTAGATATAAACTCACAATTCTGAGAAATCCCAACTTTGTAGTTCACAATTGCAACTTTTGTCTCGCAATTTTGGCTTTCATCTCGCAGTTGTGACTATAACTCGCAATTGCAACTTTTATCTCGCAATTTTGACTTCCAATTTGTAATTGCAACTTTTGATCTCACAGTTCTGGCCATATAACTTGCAATGGCAACTTTTATCTTGCAGTTCTGACTTTATTGCAATTGCCGCTTTTTATCTCGCAATTTAAACCTTATAACTTGCTATTGCAACTTTTTATCTCAAAATTCTGACTTTCATCTTGCAATTGCAACTTTTTAAATTGCAACTCTGACTTCGTAACTCACATTTACAACATTTATCTGAGAAAGACATTCATTTCAGACGTATGAAAACATAATGAGGATAAAGGGGACTGAAACAACACTGGCTTTTCACTTTGATGATGTGTAATGTGCATTTGCATTACATATACATTAGGGAGTTTAGATTTGTAGAATTGTATAGAAGCCTGTTTTCACCACTAAAGAAAATAAAAAGGATATTGCAACTTTTTAAACCAGAATTCTACTATTTTTTTTTCTCAGAATTGTGAGATTTTCTTGTGTAAACTTGAAATTGCAAATTATAAAGTTCAATATAAACTCACAACTCTGAGAGATAACTCAGAGAAACTTTTTATTTTTATTGTGACTAACTTGCCATGGCAACTTTTTGTCTTACGATTCTGACATTATAACTCACAATTATAACTTTTATCTCGCAGTTTTGACTTTCATGTTGTAATAGCAACTTTTTAATCTCACAGTTCTGACCTTATTGCAATTGCAACTTTCATCTCGCAATTCTGACCTTATAACTCACAATTGCTGCTTTTTATCTCGCAATTTTAACCGTATAACTCGCCATTGCAACTTTTTATCTCACAATTCTGACTTTAAAACTTGCAATTGCAACCTTTAACTTACAATTCTGACTTTATAACTTGAAATTGCTATTTTTATCTCGCAATTCTGACTTTAAAACTCACAACTGCAACTTTTTAATCTTGCAATTCTGACTTTTAACTTGCATTTACAACATTTATCTGAGAAAGACATTCATTTTAGACGTGTGAAAACACGAGGATGAACATGATCCCTTTTAATGTGGTGTGCATTTGCATTACATTACAGTACATTCACTTTAGGTAATTTACATTTGTAGAATTTTGTAGAAGCCGTTTTCATTAAAGAACATTTACAGGATATTGCAACTTTTTAAACCAGAATTCAATTTTTTTTTCTTGGAATTGTGAGATTCTCTTTATAACTCCCAACTGCAACTTTTTCTCTAAATCTTTACCTTTTGAGATGTGTGAAACCTTAAGCTATACTCTGAAGGAGAGTAAACAGCGCCTGCTTTTCACTTTAAGAGAGTTTTGATTTTATTATTTCTTTATTTGAAGCTGGGTTTTATGCAAGATTATATCCACCACTGATGAAGAATCAAAATAATAAAAGTCTCAGAACTGTGTGATGTTAATGGACAACTAGGTTATAAAGTTGGATGTAATCTAGACTTTAAATTCCACCACTAAAGAAAATGAAAGGTTAATGCAGTTTTTTATATTAGATATAAACTCAAAATTGCAGGTTATAAAGTTAGTCAACTCAAAATTCAGAAAGATAATTAGAAGTCTGAGATTAGCAGTCGCAACTGTGAGAATGTTGACTTTATATCTTGCAATTCTGAAAAATAAAGTCAGAATTTTGATATTAAAATTCATAATTACAAGTTACAGAGTCACACTTTATAGCTTTCAATTGCAACTTCACAATTCTGACTTTAAAACCTGCAATTGGGACTTTTATTTTGCAATTCTGACTTTTGGTTTGCCAGTTCATTCTTTAATTATTTATAAATGGCACAATTATCTTTTCCATTAGTTTTTATTACATGCTATAAACAAAAATAATTCAGAAAATGTCTGAGTTTTTAAGAAAAAAAAATACGAATTGTGAGATTGAAAAGCCACAATTAACATTTAAAATGGTTTATTTTGTATCAGAAACAAACAAACATACAAAAAACCCTTATTTACTCTTCATTCTAAGTTCAAAACTGGAGTTAATAAGATTAAAAAATGGCATAAACTTTTTTTTTTAAAAGTTGCTATTACTTTTTTGTTAATACATTTTTTATCCCATGTCTGAAACGACTTTCTACAATTATTGCATTAGTATCCAATATCCCGAATAGCCAATTTCTCAGCAATGGCCATCTTTTAAGACTTACATTTTGAATGGTATTGAAATGAAAATGCATCACGCTGGCCTTCAGAAGACGGCGAGTGAAGTTCGGCCAACAAGAACAGACATTAACAAGGCAAAACACAAATTCATTTTGCTTCACAAGTTCTCTTTCTCCTGAGTTAATGAGGATGTCAGAGGGCTTCAAAGAGGAGATACACTGCGCCTTAAAGCCAAAAAGGCGCTTTGTTTTTGTGCTTGAATGCAACAAAAGACCTGCTCTTTTCCTTTCCGAGGAGTTGGCCAGTGTTGGGTCCTGGCAGCGGCTCTGTCCCCAGTCATTCATCAAGAGTGCTGTGTTAAAGCAGGATTTGGCTGTTTGCGTGTCTCAGTTTTGGGCGTTCCCATTACTATTGGCCCTCTACATCTCTGAGAGTCACACACACACTTCTGGTGCCCCTGAGGAGATCATGCCATGCTAGTGCTTGGTGTGTTTCTGTTGCTGGTTATCTGTCAGGAATGCTTCAGAATCGTGCTCTTTACGATGGTATTTAGTAATGCATCTGTTGTGGTTCTCTGGGTGGGACGGTCTGGGCTGATTCTGTGTGTCAGTTTAAGTACACATGTGTCAGTCAGAGATTACAGTGTGTTCCGTAATTTTGTAATCAATCATTTAATGTTCTGACAATGAGAGAAATAGTTTCATATTTTGAACTGATCAGATCAGTTCCTGATGGGATGGTGAGATGGA